AGTCCTCACTCTGCCCTGTCTCTCCGTCCTTGTCGGCTGCCGTTGCCGCGCCCAAATACCTCTGCCCCTCGCTGGTTGTCTCGGCTGCGCTGCTGCACTGTGCCTCCTGTCCCTGGCTCCCCCTCTCTTCCCACCCTCCCCTGTCCTCTCGCGACGGCCCCCTCGCGAACGTCGCTGTCGATCGCCGATGGGCGGATCCAACTTCTCCTAGCTGCAAGAGCTGGCCCGGCCCGCGAGCGTGGCCGCGACATGCGCCCGAAAAGTGTGTGTGGTGTGTGTATCACCCACCGCCTGGTGTCCCAGGCCCCTGATTGCATCGCACGCTGGACTCGTTCTGGTACCTGCACTGCGCCCCGCCGTCGCTGGAACCCTGGCGCAGCAACCGCCGCTGTCCCTGCCGGTGGGGCCGGCGGCGCCACTCGCTCCAGGCGTGACCCGTCCCCCTGAGCGGCTCTCGCCTTGTTCCCCCCCCTTTCGGCCGCGCGCCCTCTCCGTTTTCCACTCTTGCATTGTGGCACAACGCGCTACAACGGTGCCCCCGTTTATTCAGCTCTTCCGCCAGCGCATTTACTCTGCCTAGCCGCCGACAGAAAAAGTGTGCGCGTGTGCTTGTCTGTATGTGTGTGTGTATGCAGTTTCCCAACAAGGGGGATCCAAGGGAATTTCCAGCGTGCTTCGGGGTGCCAGGGGAGGTGGATGATGATGATGATGATGATGATGATGATGATGATGATGATGATGATGATGTGATGATGACGATGACGACGGGGATGGCGATGACGATGATGACGATGATGACGATGATGATCCTGATGATGATGATGATGATGATGATGCTGATGCTGATGCTAATGCTAATGCTGATGCTGATGCTGATGCTGATGCTGATGCTGATGCTGATGCTGATGCTGATGCTGATGCTGATGCTGATGCTGATGCTGATGCTGATGATGATGATGATGATGATGATGATGATGATGATGATGATGATGATGATGATGATGATGATGATGATGATGATGATGATGATGATGATGATTCTCATCATGGTGATGCTGATGCTGCTGATGAGGGGGAGGAGGAAGGGGAGGAGGAGAAGGAATGGTCTTGGCGGCGCGCGCAAACAGGGTTGCGCGAGGGGGGCGGTCTTCCGAGAAGGGCGGGAGGCCTTCTCAGAGGGACCCGGCCTGACGGTTTCCCAGGAGGCCTCCCAGAGGCCAGAAGGGCTCGTCAGAAGCCCCTCCGCGCCTTTCGAGGAGCCGCCTGCGTCTTCTCAGACGGCTGCCCTCCCCCGCTCCCCCCCCCTTCCCAGACATCCGCCGACATATGACTTTTTCCAACCCGCGGCCTCGGAGCTTCGGACCCTTACCCTGGGGCTAGTCCTTCATACTGGATCCATCTGTGATGGTCCCCGGGGCTGGACGGCAACCGCTGGTTTCGCCCGGGGCTGGTTTTGCCCGGCTGGTTTCGCCCGGCTGGTTTCGCCTGGCGCTGGTTTCGCCCGGGCTGGTTTCGCCCGACGCTGGTTTCGCCCGGGCTGGTTTCGCCCGGCTGGTTTCGCCCGGCTGGTTTCGCCCGGCAGGTTTCGCCCAGCTGCTGGAGGAGGTGCAGGAGGAGGAGGAGGAGGTGGAGGGAGGATGAGGAGGAGGAGGAGGAGAATGACGAGGATGATGGGGGGGGAGGAGGATGAGGAGGAGGAGGAGGAGGAAGAGGAAGAGGAGGAGGAGGAAGAGAGGAGAGAGGAGAGGAGGAGGAGGAGGAGGAGGAGGAGGAGGAGGAGGAGGAGGAGGAGGAGGAGGAGGAGGAGGAGGAGGAGGAGGGGGAGGAGGAGGGGAGGAGGGAGGAGGAGGAGGAGGAGGAGGAGGAGGAGGAGGAGGAGGAGGAGGAGGAGGTGGGGGAGGTTGGGGAGGAGGAGGTGGAGGTGGAGGTGGTGGAGGAGGTGGCTGCGTGTGGGCAGGACGGGGGGAGGAGGGAAGAAGGTTAGGGCCGCTGGACCCGACCCGACCCGACCCGCCCGTTAGGGTCCGCCCGTCCCGACCCGACCCGACTCGCCCGTTAGGGTCCGCCCGACCCGACCCGACCCGACCGTTAGGGTTCTCGCGGGCCCTCTCGATTATATGCAACACACTTTAATGTCCCGCCCGCCCGACCCGATCGTTAGGGTCCGCCCGTCCCGACCCGACCCGACCCGCCCGTTAGGGTCCGCCCGACCCGACCCGACCCGACCGTTAGGTTCTCGCGTGCCCTCTCGATTAAATGCACCGCACGTTAATGTCCCGCCCGCCCGACCCGGCCCGCCCGTTAGGGTCCGCTTGCCCGTCCGACTTGACCCACCCGTTTGGGTGCGCCCGACCCGACCCGACCGTTAGGGCTCTCGCGTGCCCTCTCGATTATATGCACCACACTTTAATGTCCCGCCCGCCCGACCCGACCCGCCCGTGAGGGTCCGCCCGACCCGACCCGACCCGACCCGCCCGTTAGGGTCCGCCCGACCCGACCCGACCCGCCCGTTAGGGCTCTCGCGTGCCCACTCGATTATGCACCACACTTTAATGTCCCGCGAAACCAGCGGGGCGAAACCAGCAGGGCGAAATCAGCGCCGGCGAAACCAGCGTCGGGCGAAACCAGCGCCAGCGAAACCAGCGTCGGGCGAAACCAGCCCCGGCGAAATCAGCCCGGCGAAACCAGCCGGGCGAAACCAGCCCGTGCCAGCTGGACAACGGGCCACGGAGGCCGAAATGGAGGAAACACTTTTTTTACGTCGCAGCGCGGCAGAGGCGATCCGCACGCGCGCTCTAGTAGCCTGGGGCGCGTGGCGTACTCACTCACCAGCAGCGCGAGAGGGAAGGAGGAAGAGGGCGGCCGTAGAACGCAGGCGTGGGAAGGAAGGAATGCACCCACTGCGAAAACAAATCAGCAAACGTGCCCCCCCCAAAATGAAGGAAACACGCCGGGATCGAACAAGTGTGACACATTTTGTCACTTGGTTTTTTAAACAGACTTGAGCCGAGCATCGTTGCCACTGCATACCGTGATTGCATATGGTTCGCGTGAGTTGCTGCAAGTGTGCAGGTACGCATGTATGCGTCATTGCGTGAGTGCGTTGCGAACCGTGGCCGCCGAGGCTCGCATGTAGAAGCCGCAAGACCCCCCCCCTGAACCAGGCGGATGAATTGCGCAATCCCAGCTTGAGAGCTCTTTTAGAAGCCTCCTAGATGGGGTCCGAGTGGATGGGGTCGGAGACGGAGGATCGCGCCGCATCGCCAATGCATCGCCGATGCATCGGCGATGCGACGTCGAAATCGGCGATGCATCGGCGACGTCAACGTGAAGGAAGTCGGGCTTCACATCGAGCCGCATCGGCGATGCATCGGCGATGCGGCGCGATCCTCCGACCCCATTTAGGAGGCCTAGATCTTTGGTGCCATTGTGCTATCGTTAAATCGGGCCTGTCCCCCTACAGGGGGATTCTGGGCGAAACATTAGAAATATTCAAAGCATGCCCCCAACATGCAACAAAAATACTCCAATAATCGCCTCCAGACTATTTTCTGACAATTTTTGAATATCCTTCCTGTAGAGGGACAGGCCCGACTTAAGCCTCGACCTTTGGTGGTCGTCCGAGATCGCTCCGTAAAGATGCGTTACAAGAGCTCTGTCGGCATCCTATTTGTTCGAGTATGTCTCGGGCGAGACGCCCATTTTCGAGGATGCGAAAATCAGGCGAGCGACTTCAAGATCTCTATTTTGGGAGGACGTCTCGGGCGAAACGCCCAATTTTCAGCAAAAGACGTCTCCATCGTGCTACAGTCGGGGCCCTGAAAAAGGAACCCTTTTCGTTGGGGAGGGGCTCCGTGCTCCTTAATTGTTTCGCAGCTTGCCTTGGATTTTCCTCAGGTTTTCGATGCGAAATCGAAGTTCAACTTATGGAAAATAGGGGCATCGTTCCTTATTTAGGGTTTCTTAGGTCAACGCCCCGACTGTATCGTGGAAGAGCTGGTCTTGTGCGCAGCCGCCAGCGGTCACCGCCGCTCCCTCCCGGGGGGCCCCCCGCGTCTGCCCAGCCGCCCCCCGAGGGCTGGGCACGCGTGCCATGCACGGCGGCGGGCCGGCGCCTCGCGGGGCTGCGAGGCGCGCGCGCGAGCCGCGGGTCCCGGCGCTGCAGCAGGCGCGAGGGAAGGAGGGCAGGGTAGCAGCGGGGAGGAGAGGGAAGGGGGGGGGGAGGAACTAGGAGGAGGAACTAGGAGGAGGAGGAGGAGGAGGAGGAGGAGGAGGAGGAGGAGGAGGAGGAGGATACGATACGATACGATACGATACGACTCGCCCTTGGGGTGGCGGGCAACACAGAACAGCACATCAGACTAGGGAGGCTCGTGCACCCTGATCTTCACCTCTCTCAAAAGCAGACCTGCAAGATCCCAGAGGCGCTGAGGGTCTCTCGAGCCTTCTGGGTGAAATTTCTGAGTCCAGCCTATTTGGTCCCACCTAAGGACGCGGCCCTGGGCAGACCTAGTATAGGTCTTGGAGAAACGAGAGCTCGGGGAATCCCACACAAGCCGATTTTGGGAGACCCAGTCAAAACCTTGGGCCGTCGTCAGAACCGCAGGCCAATCGCTCTGATGACGCTGGAGGTGGTTCCACTAGCTGAGACACGCCACAGCATGAATACTATTCCACTGGGTCCGTGGCGCGTCCCTGACCTGACGGGCTCTCCTAGCATTGTACACCTCTGGGGCGGCCTCTTCGAGGCGCTGGTGGGTCCCACTCATCCAGCAGATCATTCAAAACTGAAGGGCGTCCAATCTCTTGGCTGCCTTGTTGCTGGGGGCCCACGAGGCACGGAGAAGACGGAATGAGGAGGAGGGAGAAAGATCGATGACGAGCACGGAGAAGGGGTCTGAGAGAGGACGAGCAGGAGGATGAGGAGTACCATGACGAGGAGAAATGAGGAGCAAGAAGGACGAGCAGCAGGGACGAGCATAGAGACACCCTCGGGCAGCTCAGGCGCCGAAGCGGCCCCCGCGCCACGCCGGCGCCGCGCGCGTCGTCCGCACGATGCCCTGCGGCTCATGGGGGCGGCAAACGACGCGGTTGATGTGCCGACGCTGCCGATCCTCCTGGCCTCCTCTTCCAGACATCTGAAATATTGTTTTTGTTCGATCTCGGGATCCCGCGCAGAGCAGCGTGCGCTCAAATTGTACCAACTCCGGCACGATGTCCATGATGCTGTGAAGAGAAGCTTCTCGATAACAATCCTCCTCACTATCTCAATTTCGCGCCGATCTCGCTCTTTAACCCCTTCGCGTATGCCTCCTGAATCGGCCCTCGGGCCCCAGGGCCATCAGACATGGGTCCGGGTCGAAAGGGGCCCGACCTCTTTCTCTCGGCCGCACCCCTCCCCCTCCCCGCCAGGGCCGGAGGCTGGGGAGGGGGAGGGGGGGGGGGGGGGACGCGCGCCTCCGCGAGTCGCAGCCCCAATGTGTGCCCACCCTTGCCTCCTCCTCTTCCCTCCTCCTCCTCCTCCTCCTCCTCCTTCCCCTCTCCTGCTCCCTTCTCCTCCTCCTTCCCCCTCCTCCTCCTTCTCCTTCCTCCTCCTTCCCCCTCCTCCTCCTCCTCCTCCTCCTCCTCCTTCCCCCTCCTCCTCCCCCTCCTTGTTCCCTCCTCCTCCTCCTCCTTCCCCTCCTCCCCCCTCCTCCTCCCTTCTCCGCGCCCTGCTGGGCGTCTGTGGTCCTTCTCTCTCGGGCCTCTGGAAGCCTCCAGCATCCAGAGGCCCCTGGGGGGGCCGTCGGAGTCCTGCAGGGGTCCTCGAGGACCTTCGGAGACCTCCTCCTGCTCCTTAGCGGCGAGCCCTGGGGGGGGAAGTGAAGGGGGGCGGGCTTTCTCAGAAGGCTCGGAAGACCCCCAACCTTCCGGGAAATTTTCGAAGCCTTCCCCGAAGTCACAGAAAACTCTCAGAAGGCCGGAGGGCTTCTGAGAAGCCCGCCGCCTTCTGAGAAGGCCTTCTCCTTCTCACTTCTCCCCCTCTCTCGCCGCGGATTCTTCGCCTCTCACCCTGAGATCCGACGTCGCGAAAAAATGTAACACGGTGATCTGTCACGACTGGACCCCAAATTAGGCACCAACTCTCTGCGGAATTTCTAGAGCCACATCCATCCGCGACGAAGCCGGGCGAAAGCGCAGGTGTGAAACAAATGCGACGCCCGGATCTCAGGGTCCGCCTCCTGACTGACGCAGCGCTTCCCGAACGCTCCCTTTCCGAAGCGGCCCGCGCCGAGCGCTAAGCCGCGCGCGGGCGGAAGCCCCGGACCCCCCGAGCGCCGCCGAAGATGGTTGCCAGAGTGAGGGGAGGGGAAGGGAGATACCCTACAATGACATGAGACACTGTAGGAGGTTAGGGGAGTTCGCAATCATCGCGAGGAGAAACCTCCTCCTCCTCCTCCAGTTCTGGGCCCTCGCGCCGGACGCGTCTCGGACGGCTGGCCGGCATGTCACCCGGGACTGGCCACGGGGGCCTGGAGCGGATCTCGGCCGGGTGAGGGCACCGAGTGCTCGCCTGCACAAAAGTCCCTCCTCCCAGAGGAGCACGGAGACGGCGCCATCGTCGGCTTTCGGAGGTCCGCACGGATGTCCCTGGCTCGGCGCCGGACCCCCCTCCCAGGCGCGCGAAGCGCGCCAGGGGCGGCGCCGGAGGGCGGCGCCAGGGGCGCCCAGCATCGATCCAAGCAGGAAATCTGTGCGGAGCTCCGGCAACTCATGTTTGTGCCGTTGTTTCTCCTTCGACCTCCTCCGCAAGTGTCCCAGGTTGAAGCCGCTCGAGAAGAGCCGACGACATGCCGACAATCATCTAGAATGGGCTGTGTTCGCATTCGCATGTGTTTCCTCCCGTCAAGGTTAGGGCTGCCTGTCTATCCTGTCTCGACGTTTGTCTTTTCTGTCTCAAGCATTCTTAGGCCCACAATTCGGTAGTGCTCATACGCACCTGTCTTTTCTGATAATTCTGCGCCCCGATAGTCGTTGTTCGAATTTCTGGCCGGCGGTCACCAGTTGAACACTCTTAATCTTAAATGCACAACGAAAAGTTATCAACCTGGACCAAGACTGCCTCGACATGACTTGTGGGCGGCAGCTGGCGGAAGAAAACCAGCACTCTAGAGGCGTACGGCGAGTTCCTCCCAACACAACGTACACAGGTTCTGGTCTCTGCTGCCGCATGAGTCGTTCAATCCTGACAAGTATCCACTGCAGAGGTGCCGCCACCGCGCCGAGACGGCATGAACCTAACGGCAATCTGGTATGAGTACTTCAACACGGCACACTGCGCTCGTCAATGCAAGTAATGCCAGTGTGTCAACACATCGACAATTCTCTGATCGTCGACGACCTCTTTCGACTCCAGATGTTCCGCTCCGAACGCTCAGGTCCGCCCCTTTCCCACTCCCAGTCTCCCTCTCGCTTCCCCTTCGCCCTCTACGGTTACACGCCGCCATGGATATTATTCTGCGCTCTCTCGTCATGCTGTCCTGATCATCCCCACCCCTCCCGCATATAGCTTTCAGACAAACATGGTTGACTCCACTTGTTTTTCGATGTATTCTAACAGAAAGACAGCTTTCGGCCCCGCAGTAGCGTGGGACACATTCCAGGATCGGCGCTTTGCTCTTGTCGTTCAGATTCGTGCTCTCGCGCCAACACGGGCCACATTTCTGGATCCGAGGCGTGTCGTTGCCGACCTCTCCTTTCCTGTCCTCCGCCTTCTCCCGGTCGTCCTGCTCATACTACTCATGTTGCTCCTTCTGCTGCTGCTCCTCCTTTTCCTCCTTCCGCATCACCCTGCTCGTCCTCCTGCTCGTCCGCCACCTCCTCCTCCTCCGCCTCGTCGTCGTCGTCGTCGTCGTCGTCGTCGTCGTCCTCCTCCTCCTCCTCCTCCTCCTCCTCCTCCTCCTCCTCCTCTCCGTCCAATGTACAAAACCCCCTACCTGATCGCGCATCACATTAGACTGTCAATCATCAGCCAAGGTCACCTAGGACACCCCAGCCGGCGGATGAAACACAAATCAGCGCAATGGGAAGGGATGGGTGGGAGGGGTAGGATGTCAGATATGGCGCGAGCGCGCCTAGCTTGCGCCCCTACCCCTCTTCTCTTTCCCCTTTCCCCTTCTCCCACCCTGCTGCTGCTGATGCCGCCCCTCCTCCTCCCAATCTCCTGCTCTTCCTCCCCCTGTCCTCCTTGTCCGACTCTCACTCCCCCTCGTCGTCGTCCTCCTCCTCCATCTCTTCCTCGTCCTCCTGCTGCTCCTCCTCCTCCCCCATCCCTTTTCCTGATGAACAACTCCTCCGTGTCGCAAACCCAGACGTGTCGGCAAGGCGGGCTGGGCGTTGCGCCTGAGCCTTCCTCGCCGTTTCTGATCCTGAAGCTTGAGAATTGCAGCAACTTCACGAATGGAGTGCGGGTACTTTTCAAGATGCAGCAGTTTCACGGGTGGATGGCGGGACCTTTTCAAACTGTGGCTCTCACGTTTGCAGCAATTTCACGGATGGAGGGCGGGCCCTTTTCAACATGTGGTGGCTCTCGCCTGCGCGCCGCGCATACTTGCCTGAAATGTTCGCAGCAGTTCCAAGCATGGCGGGCGTTTCGATTCTTGGATTTAGAAGTTATGACTCTTGCCTTAGCGCCGCGTGCATTCGTCTTAAGCAGTGTGTAGCAGTTTCACGGATGGATGGCGGGACCTTCCTTTTATATGTGGCTCTGGCCTTAACGCTGCTCGCATTCGTCTGAAACGTTTGCATGCAACACTTTGAAACATGGACGGCGTTTCCTTTTCAACATGTGGCTCTCGCCTCAGCGAGACGCGCAGTCTTTTAATACACCAATCTCAATTACTCGTAGGTTGAGAGCCTGGAATGGTGTCCTGCTGCGGTTTAGGATGATCAGGATGCAACAGTCATGTTGTTCTACGGCGTTGAAGTCCCAAGAGCGGTGTTTTGGCACGAGTGAGGATTCTCAGACATTTGTCTTCCAAGTGGCCACTTACCGCAATAAACATACCTTCTTTTCTGGACCCATGTCCAGGGAACTTCGCTGATGCGGCCTGGGTTTACACTGGTCCTCCTCCTCCTCCTCCCCCTCCTCCTCCTCCAGTAACTCCTCCTCCTCCAACTTCTCCCTCTCCTTCCACCCCGCCCCTCCTCCCCTGGGGCCGCCTGCGGACCTCCTGGGCGCTCCTGGGACACGCGCCTGGGATCTGCCTGGTCTCTCCCCCGGCGAAGGTGACGCCGGCGCTGACGACGCCGACGCCGACGCGGAAGCCGACAACGACGAAAACAACGACGACGCCCCGCCGACGCCCTCGATCCGAGCTGGCATGGGGCACCGGGGTCCTGATGGAAACGGGTCCTGGACCCCGGGGCTTTCCTGAAGGTCATTTCATCGAATCGCCAGCGGCACGGAATCTGTCTGAACCATCACGGGGCGCCTGCACACCTCGCGGCAAGCATCTGGACTCCTGCTGCTGCATGCTGCGACCGTCATTTTTGTCATGACGAGCTGTGTTTTTTCTGACTGTCCTGGGGCCTAGGAAAGGCCCCACAGGAGTCCGAAGCCAGGGGCGAGACCCCAGGACCTCTCTCCATCAGAAAAGCGTTACTTCATAACGATCCTCAATCCTGGGGCACAGTCAACCCGCACAGTAAGGATGGGCAACCTTCCCAAGGTCCCAAGGGTACCCCCTTGCATCCTTGCCTCCTCGGTCCACCCTTGGCCGCTTTCGCTGGCCAACCTCGATCGAAAAATGTTAAAGTGGACCTCCAAAGCCCTTGCATCCTTACCGCGCATCCTTATGATACGGGTTAACTGTAGAACCATCGGCCTCCAGAGCACTCTTGGAACGCGTTCTGGGCAGAGTAACTCCAGGAGGCTCCGAGAGAGGAACACTTCCGAATCCCTCGAGCCTCGATCCTCTCGACGCCCTTGAGCCTCGATCCGCCCTCGAGCCTCGATCCTCTCGAGCCTCGAGAACGTCGCTTTCCCCAATTGCGAAGCAGAGGGGCCGTCCTGGTGCGCGAAGTTGAGCGCACCCGCCCCGCCACAGGCCCCTGGCGCCTGTCGACGCGCAAGCGCGGGGGCCGGGGCCAGGCGGCGAGAGGAAGGAGGGTTTCGTCGAGAGGAGCTGCGCGCCCTCCCATGGCGTAGGCCATGTCGCCCTGGCGCAGAAAGATGAAGCGGAGATGGAGGAGGAGGAGGCGGAGGTGGTGGATGTGGAGGGGGAAGTCCTCCTCCTTCTCCTCCTCCTCCTCCTCCCTCTTCTTCTTCTCCTCCTCCTCCTCCTCCTCCTCCTCCTCCTCCTCTTCTTCCTCCTCTTCGTCTTGGTGCGCAAAATTGAGCGCACCCGCTCCGCTGGAGGCCCTGGGCACCTGTCAAGGCGCACGCTCGGGGGGCTCGGGCTGGGAGGGCGAGAGGGCGGAGGGAGGGAGAAGAAATGATGACGACGACAACAATGACGATGATGATGATGACGATGATGATGATGATGACGATTGACGTGGTGATGATGGCAATGATGATGACGATGATGCTGTTGTTGTTGATGGTGATGATGGTGTCGATGACCATGACGATGATGATGACTACGATGATGACGATGCTGATGTTGATGGTGATACTGCTGCTGCTGCTGATGATGATGATAATGATGGCGACGATGATGATGACGATTATGATGATGGTAATGATGGTAATGATGCTAAGTGTGATGACGACGAGGATGATGGTTCTGATGATGATGAGGATTAGCACGGCGATTATGCTACTGATGATGATCACGACTAGGATGATTACGATGCTGCTTCTGAGAATGATGACGATGACGATGGCGATGATGATGATGATGACGATGATGAGGATGATGCTGCTGATGATGGTTATGGTGATGGTGGTGATTCTGATGATGGTGGTGGTGGTGGTGGTGGTGATGTGGTGGTGGTGGTGATGATAATGATGATGACGATAATGATGCTGCTGCTGCTGCTGATGATGATGATGATGATGATGATGATCAGCATCATCATGATGATGGTGATGATGCTGGTGGTGATGCTGGCGGTAATGTTGGTGGTGGTGACGGTTGACGGTGACGGTGATGGTGACGGTGAAGATGAAGATGATGATGATCAGGATGATGATGATGATGATGATGATGATGACGATGATGATGATGATGCTGCTGATGATGATGATGATGATGATGATGCTGATGCTGATGATGCCTACGGCGATGCCCCTACTGATGATGAGGAGGCTGCTGATGCTTATGATGACGATGATCATGATGATACTGATGCTAGTGGTGATGCTGCTGCTGCTGATGATGATGATGGTGATGGTGGTGGTGGTGATGATGATGCTGCTGCTGATCATCGTGATCATGGTATGATGATCATGCTGCTGATGATGAGGATAACACTGTTCAACATTACGATGATGTTGAGACGGGAGGACTGGCACGGCTGTCCCATTAGGGCACGGGCGGGCCAACATCACCACAAACTGTTGGGGGAGCTGTTGGGTGAGTGGGGGCGCGCCACGGTGCCGTGATGCTAAGTGTGGAGAACCCGTCGACCCTTCTCCTCCGAGGGGCCACATCGCGGTCTATCACGCCTTGCTCACCCCGTTGCCCGCGGCCGATCCGATCGAATCTGGGCTGGGGGGTGGCATCCCAGGAGGAAACGAGGAGGAGGAGGAGGAGAATGAGGACGAGGACCAACAAAAGAAACCCAAGATGCATCAGCGATGCTTCAATCTACCCTCCCGTCGGAAGTCCCCTCCTCACAAATAAGTCCCATACAGGCCTGCTTCTTCACGGCAGGAAGCGCCCCCTTGAAAGAGTCATAGCCTTTGGGCCTGCTGTTCAGGCGGGAGCCTCGTTTTGATAAGAACCTGTCTCGCATCCTCCTAGCGCGTGGTGAAGAATACGATGACATAGAAACATAACATCAAACGAGGTGTCCAATGAGAAATCAATGTTGAAACCAATCGCCCCACCATCTGTGTAACTGTCGCACAAGGCCGCATGTCTGGCCTTCAACTTTGAGGACGTCTCACGCGAGAACTCAATTTTGAAGATGATCCTCCCTCCATCTGCGCAATATTCACATACTTTCGAACTCTCACCCTGTAGATTTGAGGACGTCTCTGGCGGAAACCCCGTTTTGAAAGAAACCGCCCTGCACCCGTGTATCTGTTGCATAGTTTCATGCTTCTGGTCTGAAGATTTGTGGAAGTCTCCGGCGAGAGCCCCATTGGGACAAGGCGCCGCTGGAACCCCATTTTGAAAAGCACTGGCTCTCCATCCTTGGAACTGCTCCACACTTTTGAAACAGATATGCGCGGCACCAAGGCGAGAGAAACATTTTGAAAACGATCGGCCCTCCATGTCCGAAACTGTCAAAGTGTTACAAGGAAAGTGCGCGGTGCCAAAGCGAGAATCGCATTTTGAAAACCAGTGGCCCTCCATTGCTGTTGCAAGCTTGTAAGACCAATGCGTGCGGCGCTGGTCAAGGCGAGAGCCACACTCTGAAAACCAACAGCGCTACATCCTTGAAGCTGTTGGGATTTCTAGTTTTCGCTCAGTGTATCAAATGGCAATGGGGTTTGAAGCGACGGGCTTGGCCTGGGCTACGGACATGTCTGGTGACGCGAAGTTGGATGGAGGAGATAGGACGCAGCCCAGAAGCGTCATGCCGATTCGACTTCGGGGCGACGGCCAGGCGCTACGGCCTCCGCGCGGAGTCGGAGGAGGGGAGGAAGGCAAGGACCTGACGCCACGGGAATTAACGAATTGCGTGCCGAGGACGTGGAAGAGGATGGCTCCTGCTCCCCTTCCATCCCTCGTCCTTATAAACAAATCCCCGCTGTCGCACCACTGTGCGTGCTCGTAGGCGGGGCCGGGCCCTTTGCTCGTCACTTCCTGGCAGCTGATCGTCCCGATGCCCGAATACTTCCAACCGTCCCACCGATGAAAGGCGAATCGTTTTCAGCATGTGGCTCTCGCCGGAGCGCCGCGCGCAGTCGCCCTGGACGAGTCCAACATTTGCATGCACTGCTGGCTGGTCGTTTTCAGCGTGTGGCTCTCGCCTGCACGCCGTGCGCGCTCTTCCTGAACAAGTCCACCGAATAC